TCTAAGCGTGCTAACAGACGTACAATTGCCGTTACTAAACCCTTTGGTAGTGATGAAACTATCGATGGTGCAGAACAATCCACAGCTGCAATCGCGGTTACTAAAAAACGCGAAGCTAGCGTACAAAAAGTGTCGCCAGTAACCGTAATTGATACAATTGCCATTGAAAGTGACGATGACATGGATTTAGTAAAGGCGACAGCACAAGCAGAAGCAGTTGAACGTGGTGTACCGGTACGCGGGCGTACCACACGTTCAGTGTCTGTTACTAAGAGCAACATTCCTGTGCCCGTAGCAGTAGCAGCAGCAGCAGCTAAAAAAGATGTTGACACTATCATCGAAGAACAAGAACAAGTTGAGCCTATTGTGCGTCAACGTTCAACACGTTCCGTTTCTCTTTCGAAATCAAGTGTTGTTACTGTTTCCTTTGATGGTAATGTACAGCCAATACAGGAAGAACCAATTATGTCATCAGCGCCAGTTTCACACCAACATACTGATGTCTACTCGAAAGTTGAGAAAAAACAATTTGAGCCAGGAAGCCTATTTAAGGAACCAACTAACAAAGCCAAACAACATCAATACATTCCAGTTGGAGATTTGAAATACTCACAACCTGTGAGCACAACTACCGGCTACGCTTCAAAATATGCTTCGCCTTTAAGCCTTGGTTCTGCACATTTTTTAGGTGGTACTCCGTCGTTATTGGCAGGAAAAACTAACGCTTATTATAATGAGCAGAGCGATGATACAGATACGGATGCATACGACACGCCGTTTTTAAGTAACTTTGCACGTACTTTGGATCGTTTGAAGTCTCCACATATGGATCGCATTGGTGGCGGCAAGTACAGTGGTGGTATGGCGGAAAATTTAACTCCACGTCCACGTAAGTCACTGGTGCACGACAAACGCAGACGTCCTTCGATCATGGCACAACTTGCGGAACTTTTTAGAGCAGTAGATAGGAAGTACCACATTCGCCGCAACTTATTCATCACGTTTATTGTTTTGGCGGTTATTACTTTTATATATATGTTTTGGCGTTAATTAAATATAATTTTGTAACGTTAATTTTACAATAACCAGTTAATTTTATAATCAGTTAATTTAAATTCATTAGAAATTTGTCATTATTTAAAAAAAAATGAAATTATATTGTTACATTTACATTGTTTGTCTTGAGTGTTTTTCAATTGTCAATGACGTATGCATACATATTTTGATTAAAATTTTAATAAAGCCCTACAAAATAATTTAGTTATATTTTAATTATTTTAACTTTTAGATTTTTATGTTCTTGTTGTAATCTGTACTTCACAAGCAGGTTCCACGTCTGTGAAGTCCCTTTGAGCTAGAGCTATTGAACGGCACTTGGTCGTCGTCGGTAACGTATGGCTTCGGGACCTAGACTCTGCCATTCTTGGAACTAAGATTTAGATTTTTATAATTTATGGTTTTGTATTTTTATATTTAATTAATGGCTAAAGGTCGATAGAGTGGTTGGGATTAAAGTATTTAATTGTCTTTAAAAAGAAAAGCTATAATAAAATTATATTCATATATATATGCATATATTCCTGTGCATTACTGTATGTGCTTCGTTTATTATATTATTTTAATGTATAATATTTATTCTACAATATAATGTTAAAGACAATTATAAATATTATTAGATTGCTACATGTAGTTTAGTGCAGCAGGAAATTGTATGAAGTTCTGGACAATGAATTATTTGGACAATCTATTAGATCCCAACCACTCAACACTAGTCTACCTCTACAAAACTGTGCACATCCAATAAGAACATAAAAACAGATCTATTTTGTGGAAGTAAAACATGGAATAGTGTCACTACAATCCAGTTGAAAATTCAGACTCTTATAAATCCACGACGAATCTTACGTACCAGTACAATTTAATTATCATTATCACTAACTAATGACACAGGGCATTATCTTGATGTAAGAATATAGATCATATTCTTATAGTGTAAGAATATACATCGCATTCTTGTGATGTAAGAATATATATTATATTCTTATGACGTGAAAATAAGATGATGTCTTCATGTTTGGAACATATAAAGGATGACCTCAAAATGTTTTTTTTTTCTGGTTGAATAAAGAACTGATACAGTATTTTGATGGCAGCAGTCTTTTAAGAATACAGTCTTCGAAATCATTTTATTGCTATTTATAAAAGATTAACCAGATTATAAGATATAACTTTGTCAAAGTTTTCGCAAGCTTCAAGTTTATCTTTATTTATGAAACTATATAAACTATGTACTACGAAAAGATAAAGACAGAAAATAATATTGCGTTAGGTAAAATGGTAAAATATAAACAATAGTTTCCATTCAAGTCCAAGTAAAGTCCATTCTTTAACTTCATTCTAGCTTTTACCATAAAGTCGTAACTTTGTTTTGATTTGTTTACGAGTGTTCCAGATAATGTTTGGAGCACAGAATTTTCGGTGACCTCGGAGGTAGGTCTGCCTAATATTATTTTAGCGACATGGTTTTCAAAAACTTGCGGTTGCCTAGTTCTAGAGCAGAAGTTTATTATAGGTATTGTTTTTGACAGAATACCAACAAGAACCTGTTCAAGTTGTCTAATTAATTATAATTAATGTAATTTCTGCTAAAAAATGACATTAATTGGAATGCATGGAAAACAATGAATTTATTGCAGTACTAGATTCGTTGGAATACTACATTTTGTTGAAATGCTAGATCTACAGGGCAATTCCGGCTGGTTAAGAGCCTTGCGAAACATGCTTGGCAGATAGAATGAAGGACTATTTTTTAAAAGAATTTTATGATTTATAATTCGTGGAAGACAGCTGTTTTGTGCTGTTGCTTTTGTGGGGAAATCAAAAACAGCTGTTAATCGGTACTGCATGCAATTCAAAAATTTTATTTAAATACAAAAGTAATGGAATGCCGTAAGATGTATATTTCATTTATTTCATTATTATTACTTGTACATAAATAAATATTTATTAAAAAACCCTCAAATTTAATTGATGTCATGTAAGAAATGGTAACAGTAATTAATGCATTAAGCACAGCAGTGACGCCACAAAAAAAAAAAAAATAGTTATAAAATTATAGCAAAAAACTATATATATATAAAGATATATAAATATTAAAATTTATATGCCTAAAAATTTATAAATTATACATAGATATATTAAATATATTTTTTAAGATTTTAATAAAGACGTATTGATTACGTTGATGAGTCGAACGCCGTATTAAAAATGAAGTTGAAAATTATTTCTTTTATTTTTACAAATTTTAATTAATTAATAAATTAATATTTATTTATTATTTTTATATAAAGAAAATTTTGTAGACGAAAAACACATCTTTCGTTTCGTCTTTTGAAAAACAGAAAGCTCTTTTCTATCAGAATATGAAATATCTTTTGAAAGATTTTTGAAAGTGGTGAGCTCAAAGAAACGCAGGGTTGTATTTTTGCTCATACTAAAAGTATACTATGAAAAATTTTAAAAAGGATTTTTTGCTCGAAATTTTTGCAATAAAATTTTAATTGATTTGTGTCATATATATATTAAAATGGGTACTAGTTTGTATATTAAATAATTTTAAGAGAAACAAAAACAAAATTGTTTTAATTTATTATAATAGACAGTATTACCAACATTAAAAAAAAATATATGTAGGACTTTTATTAGTTATATATATGTATATATAATCCAGATCAATGATAAAGACTTGCAGAGTTTTAATAGGATAAATTGCTGTTGTTAAAGATTTGTAGGCTTTATATAGCATAGGTTGTTATTAATAAAGACTTGAAGAATCTTTTTGGGCAAAGTGCTATGATTGCAGATCTCCATGATTTGTAGAAATCAGCTTTTTCAACTAAAGCGAAACTCAGTACTATGATACCTCTGCCGACAGGTCGCTGCGCATTAGGATGTCATATAATACGACTTGGTCTGACCTCTAACGACTTTTACCGGTTTTGTGGTTCTGCGGATAAAGCCAAAGGCTTTTTTAAGTTTTTAACGAAACGTGGAGTTTTGTTTTTTTCTTATTTCTCTTAATTTTATATAATGTACACACCCACAAACCATTTACAACTTTTATAGCATACTTTTAGTGAAAGAAAAAACACAACTTTGCGTTCAAATAGCAATAAATCTAGTGAAACAGTGAATCTATAACAACAATAACACCGGATTTATTGACATACATATGTATTTCAATTGGTGGAATTGGTGGGTAAATAAAGATTCTTACTAGATCAGAGGACTCACTTGGTCGATTTTGAACAAAATGCATACTAATTTGCTGTTTGTATTAAAGCGGAACCGATTTAGTATAAAGGCATCGGTTTTGACAGGTCATTGCTTATTACAAAGGAATACAAAACGACTGAGTTTGCCCTCAAACGATTTTTTTGTTGTCTACGGCTTTGTGGATGAGAACCAAACTGTACTCCAACTTATATATCAATGCCTATCATTGGTTGGGAGAAGATTCAAAATCTTCGCAGCTTCTTGCTTACATTAATGATAGAGAAGTTTGTAAGCCTTTAAAATATATGAAATAGTCAAGTTCATAGACTTATTTGGCATCACCTACTTGAATGGTGGAATTAAACCTTTTCCAAATGACGCTGTTCATGGAATAAATGTTTACAAGCTATACCTTTAAGGTTATTCAAGCCTGACACGGCTACCGTCTCAACAGTGGAATCACATTATTTAGGTTTATGTGATCTCCGGTTTATAGAGTTGCCTCTTTCACCTAACCAGAGTTTTTTGAAATATTCATTGAAATATAAGCCATATATTATAATTATAATTAAGGGTGCTGTTTGATTGGGCTATTAATCTGATTTATATGTTACATTGGTTGACGTCTTTATTTAAGTTGAGGTTACTGTTGCACCAAAGATAGGAAACATCAAGACACTTACTTTGATATATGATAATCTGTACTATTTAGTCACAATGATCTTATTACAGCGACATTCATTAGTCCATGGGCTTGCATTTGAGTTTCAGTTTTTTCTAAAGATTCCTAAATCTAAATGGAGTGGCGGGATATCAGTAAGATTTCATCTATGTACTTCAGATAATCATGTATGTTATGTTAGCTGAACGTAATACTCTGCTTTTCACTATGATAACTCGTAGTAAGATGAGAATTGAAGTGATGCTGTATTCTCTATCCTTAGACGAAAGGCGTAATACCCTGCCTTTCACTATGATAACCCGTATTAATATGAGAAGTAGGGTAATGCTGTGTTCTCTGTACATTCCCAATTGATATTCTAATAAATGCTGTTGCGTCATGATACAGAATACAGTATCACCTCATTTCTCATCTTACTTCTAGTTGCCTGTTAGTGTATGCCGCATAAAGGGCTCAATAGTATGCACCCCAATAAAGAAATTTTATCAAATTTATCAACTTATATGAGATACACCTGCACTCCAGGATTATCATAATGCTTTCCTTTTGAGGACTTTCGTCTTCGAGGAAACAGTAGGGCTATAGTGTCCAGGCCAGTGGCTCCCAACCTTTTTTTAATCGAGGACCACTATGATGTTTTTGTTTTTCGTAGAGACCACAAAGTTTAAGAATAATAAACTGTATGATTCTTTATGTAATTTTGGTGTAATGTATAACGAATTATATAAACGCATAGGTATAATAATACGTATACCTATGCGGTATACCTATAGGCTATAAAATAGGTATGTAATTACTTAGAAATTTTTTATGTTTATTTTCTAATAAGCGAGGTTTCAGTGGACAAACTACAAGCTATGTATCTTTATTTGTTAAATTTGATTCACGGACCATTATAAACCATCTCGGGGACCACAGGTAGTCCGTGGACTACCGGTTGAGAACCACTGCTCTAGGGCAAACCAATTTGAAAGCAAAAGCTTATTAATCGAAGTGGTCTCATGTCGTGCGCATGGAGTAAAATGTTCCGACTAGAAATATGCTTGATTTGGTATTTGTTTGTGTATCGAAAAACGCGATGGAGGACGGTCGCATCTTCGGTGGTAGAATCAGGTGACCAACAATATGAAGTTACTCAGTACTATTAACTAGTGTCAC